CTACTATATGGAGTTTAATCACTTTTTTAAAGAAAAACAATTTGGCTTTAGAACACATAGAGATACCAATCATGCAATAAATGTTATTTTCGATACTGTAGCAAGTCTAAAACATCAGGGCAATCTTGCCTTAATTGCCACCAGAGATGTTCACAAAGCTTTTGATAGCTTATGGCATGATGGCCTTATATACAAACTCATTGACCTACCAGACCATAACTGGACTTTTCTCAGATTAATATATAATTTCTTAACTCAAAGAAAAATCATTCCCACCTTTCATGGCAGGTCGACAGAGCCTTTTATACCGACAGCTGGTGTCCCGCAAGGATCTTGTCTCAGTCCACTCCTGTTCAACATTTATGTGAATGACCTTCCTCAACCAGAGTTTAATGACACAATTGTGACAGTTTGCAGATGATGTTATTCATGTCGTCTCATCAACTCCGGTAACAGGAAAATACAAGTACGAGAGAGTCATAGAGAAAATGAATATTGAACTTCGTCGAACATCTAATTGGGAAAAGAAATGGAGAATTACAACTAATCCTGACAAGGTCCTTGTTAGCACGATAGGATGTTTTGCATCAACAATTGAAGATAAAGGAGGTATCTCCATCAGAGGTACACCTGTAGCCATTAGAAACCCTAACAAGATTTTGGGATATGAAATCGACAGGCTGCTCCATTCAACATCTCATGTAACTAAAAAGATCAACATAGCCAAAGCCGGTCTTAGCAGACTCTTTCGATTCAATCAAGCCCCTCAACATGTCAAAAAATATCTGTATAAAATGATAATAAGACCAATACTCGAATACCCTTGTGTCCCAATGTCATTAACAACAAAGACCAACATGCTCCGGTTACAAAGGGTCCAGAATAGAGCTCTTCGCTTCATCACCGATACCAGGAGAAGAGACAGAGTTAAAATGGCAGATTTACACATACAAGAAGATATTACTGCCATAAATGTACGCCTTGACACCTTAAAAAAGAAACAACCTTATACAATGCAAGAACTATACATGCCAGATAGAGAACATCCTATACAAGTGGTAAATACCACGGATTATACTATCACTACTCCTCCTCACAGGACTCAACGAATGACTCTCCCACAAAGGGTCCATCGCTTTATTCATAAAGATGATTACCCACGACCCATGATATTGAGCAACCTCCCTGATGAAGAGGATTGGGTACCACCAGAACCCTTCTATGTATACTGAGAAAATCATCGCCCCCAATTAGGGAGACATCATATATAACTTTCTAATGTAAAAATTATCCTATTTACTATGGCTGGACACCACCTGTAAGAAGCCATTGTCATGAAATTTCTAAACTGGCCAGAAAATTATGCCTTCCATGTCGCATAAACATCCATTGTGCAATCGCAAAAAAAAAAAAAAAAAAAAAAAAAAAAAAAAAAAGCAACTGCAACTTGTATAATTACTACCAATTCAGAGTCATGTACTTATAAATCTGTTATATCTATGTGACTTTGATGGGTTAGTCTTATACCCCTTAATTAAATATATTATCATTTCACGTACACTTTTTAAATTGCACCAAAGTGGTTGGGCCACTTACCTTTATATCCTATCTCTCACCCCCCTCCCACCCTTTTCCAATATTTCCATCCTTACCAATCCTTCTTCCTTCCCCATCTCACCAAAGCTCTGGTCTGAACAAGAACAAGAACAAGGAGGGAACGTGAATACGAAAAAAAAAAATTCTGAAAAACTAATCAGTTAATATAAACAGTTGACAATTTACTTCATCTCGGACATCTAGTTATACAGACTATGTACATTTAAACCCAATTCTGCTAGGGTGAGGTTTACATATGCAGAATGGTTATCATCTCTGGGAGGATCGAATTCCTCTGCAATGGCTAACACATGCCTTGACTGAGGGAGATTTGAACGAGTATCTACAAAAGATACTTGTGGGTTTCTCATTACCTGTCGAGTACGCAAGGAGTAATGACATTCAGGTTGGTTATCTGAGTACAGTGGACCCCCGCATAACGATATTATTTCAATCCAGAAGTCTGTTTGGGTGCCGTTGTAGACCGAATTTGTTCCCATAAGAAATATTGTGAATTAGATTAGTCCATTTCAGACCCCTAAAAATACACCTACAAAAGCACTTACAAAAATAAACTTACATAATTGGTCGAGTTGGGAGCTGATCGTTATCTGGGGGTCCACTGTATTTGAGGTAGAGGGTACAGAGTCAAGAGGATTTTCAGCATCTGTCACATTAGTCTGGGTAGCAATATCATCAACATCGCATACTAATTTCATATGATCTAAATGCGATTCTTTGTACTTGCCAGTACTAATTTCTCTAACCTTATACTTATTACCAGAGATATGTTCTACAACATTACCAGAGATATGTTCTACAACTCGATAAGGTCCGACAAACTTTTGATCGAGCTTAGACATTGCGGATGTTTTGTTGAAATTTGTCAGCATTACTCTTGAACCTACTTTTACTTTTGATGGCTTAGCACGGCTATTAGTTACTCTAGTAAATTCTGCTGTTTATTTATGAAGTGTTTCACGGATTCTTCTAAAAACACTCTGAGCCATGCCTGTACGAGTTGCTACGAAATCATCAGGGTTATAATTAGGTTTCGGAGTGGAATATAACAACTCATAGGGTAAACGCTTGTCTACACCATACAATGCATAATGTGGAGTATCACCTATTGAAGCATTGTAGCAGAATTTATGGCACATAGGACATCTGGTATGACTTCATCCCAAGTTTCACTATTGGGGTTGATAGTGGCTCTCAGGACATCAAGTACTTTCTTATTGGTTCTTTTGGCTAACCCATTGCTGGCAGGATGATGAGGAACAATGGTGGATTTAGAGATCTTGTATAAAGTACACAAATTTTCAAGAATCTCATTACAGAATTCACCTCCATTATCTGTTACTAAGGACTTTGGGGTGGTATGCCTGCAGATAATGCATTCTTTAAATGCTTTAGCTACTGTCTCTGCAGTCTTATCTGCAATAGGAACTAACTCACAATATCTGGTGAAATGGTCTACCATAACACACAGATGTTTGTTGCCTTGGAGGGAACATTTAAAATTGGTTAACAAGTCAAGGGCAACTCTTTCCCACGGTTCGCTAGTGGTTGGGTACACTTGGATTGGATTAGGACCATTGACATTTCCTTTATGTTGCATACAGACACTACATTTCTTAACATACTTGGAAATGTCAGTTGCCATACATGGCCAAAAGTATTTCATTCTATCTTGTTTCACAGAACGATCCATACCAGTTAGTTCATGATGCACCAGGTGTGCAACACCTGGTGCATCATGAACTAACTGTAGAGCTACGTTCACCAGTGACTGTGGAATTACTAACTGGTAAACTCTTCTACTTGGAGTACCCAACTCGGCTGTTCGATACAGTAATTCTTGGCTCATTACAAAGTCACTAATGGGTGCTGGTGGCTTCACAGTAAGAATAAGATCTTCCTGGAGCAGGAATCGAATCACCAGAACACAAGGGATCAGTTCTTTCTTACTGGAGGAATGAACAAACTGACACTAATACCATCAAAATTAGCTGATACCCACTATACATCAAAATTAGCCAATACCCCCAATACCCCTAACATGAACCAACTGAATACAATGTGGTATTGTTGCATGTTTTGTCACATGAAGCAGAAGTTTACGCAATGTATTTATTTTTCAATAGTTTCATTATCTGTATCTCCTTTCCTATAAGAAGGAAGGAAGTTGTAAGATTTACAAAGCATTTTGACCCATAATGTACTGCAGGTAAAATATTTTTTTTTATCCAAAATCCATTTCAATTTACAGTGGAACCTCAGTACTCAAACAGCTCCATACTCGAACAATTCGATAGTCGAATGCTTTGTTCAGTAAAAAAATTACTCGGTAGTTGACCGTTTGCTCGGCACTCAACCAAACAAACACGACCTGCCAGAACATGTGTGTCAGTCTCCCCGCAGCTGTTGCTCAGTCCAAAACTCCACTGAACTTCACTGTAAACTATTTTGTGTTTCTTCGCATTTTTTTTTATATTATTTGTATAAATAAATTACCATGGTGCCTAAGATGATTAGTGATAACAGCCAACCAAAAAGAAAATTGGTTAGTGTGTGTTTGCCCTGATGAAAACACTGCCTCTGCCTCTCCATATACTACTGTAATATACCTTTTATTAATTTCGGAGTCTTTATTGTGCTTCTAGGTTATCTATTGTGTTTCTGATATCAAGTTGGAATAAATATGATAGACTGATAATCTTTATTACTAATATTAGTGTAATAATACACCACTGTATTTGTGCCACAGCTAGTATCCAGTTATCAAGACAACTCATCAGATACTGAATGCTCCTTCTGCTGGCCCCTCCCTCTCTCTCTTATAGCTCCTCCCACTTTGGGCCTCTCTTATATTACACTTGCTTTCCATTTTGAATTTTTATTCACACAAAAAATAGAAGATTTACTGTTATGCAGACTACTGCATTATTGAAAAAAATGGTATAAATAATATCAGTATATTTGTGAAAGCATATTAGACCCACCAGCTAAAGTGTATTGGACGTGTGACGTGATTTGTTTACTCCTGAACATCATTAAATATCGAATATTTCCTCTACTTTGAGCTCAATTTCAAGGTACTTTAATCTGTAAACCATTCAAAATTATCTCTTTCTGTAATATATCTTTCATTCTAGCAAATGAGACAAGAAAACGAGAATACAATCATAAATACCATACGAAAATATACCACAAAGTCGCTGTAAGTGTATTATGGGTCTGAAATGGATTAATCAGATTTACATTATTCCTTATGGGAAAAATTTGTTCGATACTCGAACTGATCAGCACCCGAACAGCCTTTTGAAACGAATTAAGTTCGAGTACCAAGGTTCCACTGCATTCTGAAAACGAAAATTACCAAAAAATTACCTTATACTTACAGACTGGAAGTCCTCGGCACTAAATACATCTCGTACAGTGTTGATGACAATATCATCTTTCGTGCGAGCCAACCCATCAACATGTACACGTTGGACATGAGCCTAAAAAAAGAAGAATGCATTAATATTTTTACATTTTCACTATTTTTTAGAGTGAATACTTATAATAGCATGATAAAGGTGCAAAGCACCAATTAGTATTGAATACAGTACAGGAGGGCCCCCCTCCCCACTTCATGGTTTTCAATTATATCCCTCTTTCATTTATTCAGAGCTTATTCTGCTATTCTGGCATTTTTTGTCCCAATATGCTTAACAACTGAGCGTCCAACACCATTTTATTCAGTCTATTTACAGCCTTTGTGTGCCCTGCGTCTCTCTATCCTTTTTTTTTAAGCCTAGCTTTATTGCATACTTAATATATGATAGTGTAAACATATTATCAGGCTTTCACATGCATTTAAAAGTTAAAAAAGGCTATGTTCCACTTTTCAGCAATTTTCACTTAATTAATGGCAGTAGCCCAGAACCTATCCCACCATACAAGTGGGGCTCTCCTGTACTGCACTCCTTGGATTTGTGTGAAGGATTTATCTCCTAAGAAAACCACACATGTTTACAAGTACATACTGTATAGGTGTGTTCTATGGCTTCCCTTCCAAGATTAAGTATTATTTTCTTTTTTGAATCTTACAAACACAGGTTCATTTCTTCTGTGAAGAATAAATATAAACAAAAAAATTTATCTCATAGGATCATATTAACATGAAGTCAATCACGTTAATTATTTTAGCAAAAAACATTTTAGTGAAATAGTAGCACTGAGTAAAATCAACAAAAACAGTTCTCATTGAAGAAATCCATGGTAGTGGCCACTCACCCAGAGCTTTTATATTAAATAAAAGTGCAGTAGCAAAAAAGAAGTGTTATGTATTCAGGTACTGTTTGACATATACTGATGCATTCTTTTGGATTTTGTGAACTGAGAAGCAAGAGAGGTATTAAAAGAAAATGGCAGGCATCTTACAAACATTAATCACTAAACCAACACAAAAAGTGTGAAAAGATACTACAACTTGTACAGTTATTGGATGAAGCCTCAAACTGATCACACCACGAAAAAAGTCATCCTAATTTATGCATTAGTTTAAAAGGAAACAAAACCCGTGTAAGAGAATTTAACAACCAAATGTCCATTGACAATGAATGGCTTGATGGGTGTTCCAGTGCTTATCCTTGCAGTTTCTTCAAGACACATCCCTGACACATTTGTGGCTTAACACTAGTGATTGCATGTTGGTAAAGTGAAAAATTTATAAGTAATAAGATTACAAGCTTCAAAACACTGTAAAAACATGTGAGTAGACACCAAACACTCCATTTGGTGTTTTCATCTGAATATTTTAAGCAGGTAAAAAGAATCATTTACAAGTACAGTGTGACACAAAAATCAGTTGATAAAATTAAGGGTAGAAAACTTTGCCAACCTTGACAGACCCAGAAAAAAAAATGAGGTGAGCTCATAATATTGTGAAAGAAAGTTCTGTCATCATTAAGAAATACCAGATATTCTACCAAAATGAAGCTGTAAAATTTTAAAATGACAATCCTGGTTCTTGATAGGAAAGAAGATAGTCAAAAACTGCTAATGATGAATAGTATACTGTGAAAGTGATTGCAAAGATGGCTGCTGGTCTTACAAGGCCTCTTAGCAATGTGGTACAGGCAAGAAGTACCGTATTTTATGGTGTCGAAGACACTATTCTTTTCCCAAAATACAACTCCAAAATTTACCCAGCGTCTTGAAGGCCAAAATACCATTTATCTTTTTATTCCCAAAACTCAGTCAATCAGAATTGGGGGGAAGAGGGGGGATATCCTCGACACCAGAGCATCTTGTTTGCTGTAAAACACAGTACTGGCCAAGAATCTGTTTGCCAGTTACTTGTGAAGGAAGATTTCTATCTATAAATTACAACAGTTGAATATGGTTTGTGATACTAATCTGCATCACTTGTGTTCATCAGTAAAACACACCACAACACATGCAGCTATCAAAAGTGAACAGACAAACTGTCTGGGGCACTGCAGTGTAGTTCATGAAAAACATTTTGAACATTTAATTTAACAAATAAAGATTTCAGGTACAGTGGACCCCCGCATACCAATTTTAATCCGTGCAAGAGGGCTCATTGGTATGCGAAATAATCGGTATGCGAATGAATTTTCCCCATAAGAAATAATGGAAATCAAATTAATCCGTGCAAGACACCCAAAAGTATGAAAAAAAAAATTTTACCACGTGAAATATACATTTTCCTACACACAAAGAGAAGGATACATGCACAATAGTAGAGTAGTACATGCACAGTATATATTGTGCATGTACTAGTCTACTAAATGAAGAATAAATGACACTTACCTTTACTGAAGATGCAGCAATGACTGATGAGACACTGTGTCCTGGGAGTGCCTTTTCCTCCTGAGTACTGTAGGTCCTGTTTGGTATTTTCTTCCAGAACATGCCTTATCACACTGTGTATGTCACTACGATTCTTAAATCTCTCAAACCAACCTTTGCTGGCTTTAAATTCACCAATATGAGGACTAGTTCCAGGCATTTTTCCCTGTTCACCTGGGTGTTAGTCGACTGGTGTGGGTTGCATCCTGGGAGACAAGATTAAGGACCCCAATGGAAGTAAGTTAGACAGTCTTCAATGACACTGACTTTTTTGGGTTATCCTGGGTGGCAAATCCTCTGGGGTTAATTGTTTCTTGGTATTCTCAATAAGCCACACCAACAACAGTGCTACAGCAGCAGCAGACGATGCTACAGCAGCAGCAGCAGCAGACGATGCCACAGCAGCAGCAGACGATGCTACAGCAGCAGCAGCTGACAGTGCTACAGCAGCAGCAGACGATGCTACAGCAGCAGCAGACGATGCTACAGCAGCAGCAGACGATGCTACAGCAGCAGCAGAACGATGCTACAGCAGCAGCAGCAGCAGACGCATGCATAACAGCACAGCAGCAGCAGCTGACAGTGCTACAGCAGCAGCAGACGATGCTACAGCAGCAGCAGCAGCTGACAGTGCTACAGCAGCAGCAGACGATGCTACAGCAGCAGCAGACGATGCTACAGCAGCAGCAGCAGCTGACAGTGCAGCAGCAGCAGCTGTACCACCAATAGTAGCGATGGTTGATTGGGGTTTATTATACAACCTGGCCAGCTCGGAGACACGCACTCCACTTTCATACTTATCAATGATCTTTTTCTTCATCTCTATAGTAATTCTCACCCTTATTGCTGTAGGGTTGGCACTAGAAGCTTTCTTGGGGCCCATGGTCACTTATTTTCCAGATAAAATCACCAAAAACACTGTAATAATACGAAATGTTACAATTGTATGCTTGGATGCTACCGCGGAGGCTGGCTGGTAAACAATGCCACCGGCGGAACATGTGAGGCTGGCTAAGGCGCACATTGGATGCGTCTCGGACGAACAGCGGTGAGCGGGTTTTTAAGCTGTATGCGAGGCAAAATTTTAGCGATAAAATGTATCGGTATGCGGATTAAACGTTATGTGATGCCAACGGTATGCGGGGGTCCACTGTATTTCTAATGAATCAACCATGACAACTTTCATGTCATATTGTACATGCAAGATTGTAAACTGAAAAAGGCATAATTCACAAGTACGTAATAAGATTGTGAAATTTAAAGTACTGTAATCCAATTTATGGTGGTAAAATATAAGATGATAAAACGAAGACCTATAATTCTAAAGCACGAAATCCTATACTGTACATAGAGAATTTACTTATAAACACCTAAATATTTTAATAAGAATGTAATCTGGTAAACAGATGGTTAAACAAAATATGAAAGAAACTGGTACAGTACAAGCTAACAAAATTATTTACAGTAAAGTACAGAATATTTATAAACAATAAAAGCTTTAGCCTGAATAAAAAATAATTCAAAATGAACTTTGATATACATGTATATAAGTACAACACTGAAATAGTTTAAATTCCAATTGCAAGGGGAAAAAATACCACCCAAATTCATGCACAGCAACTAACTGAAATCCCACCTTAAGATACTTCATCTTCATTTGCATACCCTGAGACTTTAACTTTGCTAGTTTATCTCTAATTTTTTTTAGTTTCCCCTCCCTTTCACTTTCTTCTTTATTTTGTAACTGAAAAGAAATGCATATATCATTCACTATTTTAAACATTATGTAACTGCCTACTGTAGTTATAGCAGTAGAGATGTGCTCATGATGTACCATCTTCTGTAATTAATTTGTAATGTGCATTTTTAATTTCATGTACTTATAGCACATACTATCATTCCAGCCACCTACCATTTTATAAAAATAAGTACTACTGTATATGCAAGTATTTTTTAGTTTACAAACATTAATTATGTCCAATATTCCGTGCAGAACTAGACTCCATAAAAGGTGTTACTCTACAGGGCTAGACACTGTTTACCTCTCAGTAAAATTATGTTGAAAAATTACAGATATCTCAGGAATACTATACACATATTACAATTTAAACAACAACAATAATAAATAATATGCTTCCTTGTAATATATACTGCTGTACTTAGAGAATCTACTAGATAGAATTTACTCAACAACGTACTTACAGTATAGCATTTACATATGAAAATAAATAAAAATATTTATTTGGAAAATAACAACATACATGTAAATTACAATGTACATATTGGTAGGTATAACATGCACTGTAACATTTTACGAAGCAAACACAACATTACGTTCAGCATTTCAGGCAGTACTTCATCTAACAGCTGAAGATATATTACACAAAAAAAAAAAACTTGGTATAACAGATTCACAGAGGAAAGGGGGTGTCTGTTTAAACAAAAATCTGTGATACTGAAATCCTCAATGTGATGGACATGGCCCATTGTATGGAAAACTAAATGGTTATAACTATGACCGGTAAGCCAGTGGAAGGCCTCGGTCAGATGACCAAGAGCTCTAATGGTGGGTTAACATCTGAATGAGACTTGCATCATGAAACACTTGTCCTGTTTCCTAACAAATCTTACTTAACTTAACCTATCTACTGAATATATACACTACTGCTAATGGGTAAAATCTCAATGTAGCAGACTTGATCCATTATATGGGAAGCCTACTGGAGACAGACAGACAGACACAGACACAGACAGACAGACAGACAGACAGACAGACAGACAGACAGACAGACAGACAGACAGACAGACAGACAGACAGACAGACAGACAGACAGACAGACAGACAGACAGACACACACACACACACACACACACACACACACACACACACTACTGCTAATGGACAAAATCTTAATGTAGCAGATTTAATCTGTTGCATCAAACACAGGGAAGGCCTCTTATATCAAGGTTTCAACAGGGATACAAAATTGAAATGCTTAAGTAAATTACCAAGACAAAAATTCTCAATACAAGAATAATAAATTTTAAGGCACAAGGTACTATAAGTACACTACCAGTAAGTGTGGTATAAAAATTGCAGTTCTAATTATTCTGGAGATAATATCAGGAGTAAAATTTAAAACTGAGATAAAATATACAGTAATAAAAACATCTGGAAAGCATTTACAAACAAATGTGGTACTATGATCTATGCTTTTTCTTACAGTCAGCCACAAAAGCAAGCACCACGAACTTTTATTTTAACACACTGGCTGTCTCCCAAGTGACCCAAAAGAGAAAAACTTTCACCATCAGTGTCTTGCCAGAGGAGCACTGATACTACAGTTTAGATGCCCCTCCAAATTGCAATAACCCCCCTACCATTCCTTCAGCGTACAGGCACTGTATTCTCACTTCCTGGACTCAAGTCCAGCTAAGAGGTGTCGCTGAAACCCTCCACAAATGTTATCTTGTTCACACCCCAACAGCACCTCAAGTCATAAAAACTACTTGCCTCCACACACTCCTATCTACCACTCACACAAAATTCTTGGATACCACATAATCTACAAGAATTTTCTTCCCATCATATATAAATTATAGCTGAATCAACTTTGTGTCATACAGATTACCTAGCTTGTGTAGTCTTACTGTTTTAACTTGTTCATTTAACACTAAGATAGTGTAATAAAAATTACTTACCACAGCCATTCGATGCACCTTGACTCTATCCACAAGCTAGCTATTAAGTCTTAACAAATTCTATGTAATGGAAGAGGTGTCAGATGGGTAAACAAAAATGTACTATATGTATACTGTACTGTGCCTAACACTTACAGCAAGGGGATGTTTGTTTTTTATTTTTAGTAACAAAACACTAGAATCATTTGGCTATTCAGCACTTTGCACACATACTGATACTAATAATCAAACCTGCACCATAATTATCAACTTACTATTATCATAACCAATTTGCTGTCATATTACAGGACACAAACCACTTAAACTCTGCCAATGCCTTAATTAAGTTGACCCAGCATTAGGAGGACAAGTGGATAATTATATAATTCAGTCAACCTGACTTCAAATATTCTTTAGGACAGCAGTGTTAGTTCCTAATACCTAGTCAAAAGAGGGAGTTACTGTGCATCGTATATTCATATCTTGCTCAGACTGAGGTTGTAACTCGACTATAGTAACTTCTGAACACTTATTAGTCTCTGCCCATAAGTGACAAAAAAAAAAAGTTTCAGCTCCTCACCTTAAGTGCCTGAAGATCCATTCGGTTGCCCTCACTTTCATCTGTCTCGGGACTCTGCAAATTACAAACAAATTGAGGATATAGTAAAACAAAAGTCATAGCTATAAATTACCTCTGATATACATGAGAATAGTCTTGACCTTTTTTTATTTTTAACCTCACAGCTGGGCCTGGGTCCTGATTACCTGTTCAACTAGCTGCTGCTGTTGGTAGTCAGCAGGGCCACAAAAACCATCATGGCTTGGATGATCCAGGACTTGGAGGAGGTAGTGACCCAGTTTCCACTTGGAAACTTCCACAAGTGTTCCAGCAATGTTTCTGATATCTGCTTGTAGCATGTTAGTCTTGGACCACAGACACTCACACAGTGGTCACTCATTATACACAATGGTCACTTATTGTACCAAATGTTTCCACCTGGTATGGGTGGAAACATTTGGGTGTGTTTCCTTCAGATACCTGCTGCCTCTCTTCACCTAGCAGTAAATAGGTAACTGAGTGTTAACTGACTGGTATTGGTTGCATCCTGGAGACAAAATTAACCTAATTTGCCAAAAATGCTCTGCATAATATGGGGCTTTATGTCAGCTAGGTCTATATAAACTGTATCATGTACTTGTAGAAATAAAGATTATTATTATTATGTAGTACAGGCAACTGTATCAAATGTCTGAAGACACATATTCAACTTGTGTGTCATTTTAAAAGTTTACAACTTGTGTGTCATTTTAAAAGCTTATCATAAGTTGCATATATGACTTTTTATAGCTACATAACTTCTAGGTGGAAATATACTGTTAGGTTACAGGGGGCAGCAGTGTTGGGAGACTTGCCCATACATTTTGTTTCACCTGAACTGAACTCTGGTCTTTTTGGTCATGAGCTGAATGTTCTACAAGTTACTTATAATTATTACTAGCAATTGTTTATTTCTCTGTAAAGATTACAATGTGGGGTTTACATATTATGAAATAAGGTTACAATGTGTGGTTTACATATTATAAAATATTAATTACAAAGAGGGCCACTATCATGCCTAGCATGACTAGGCATTTTGGGCAGACTAATAGTAATCCTAACTCTTGGTTAAATAGTTATTAGTAAGTTTATTTAAATATAATTACCTAAGATTTGAATAATTACAACTGTCATACACATTATGTTCAAATTTATAAATGATAAAACTATTTCTATAAAGAATGATTTACAATTGGTATGGAAAAGGTGATATTACTGATATATGTACTTTATAAAAAGCCCGGGTTATGCAGAGCATTTTGGGCATCCATAAAATAATTTATAGCTACTAATAGAATATTTGCAAGAACAATTTGTTGTTAGTTTTAATAAAACAATTCCAGCTAGTCTAGGATAACCCAAATAAGTCAAAGTGACTTACTGCCATTAAATTATTTAACAAGGCAAGAAGCCTACAACTGACTTTACAAATAGGATAAATCAGTATAATGATCATTAAGCCAGATTATATACAAGCATATATTAGTGATACATTATGTATATTGAACACAATAACCTAAAGCAGTGTGAATTCCAAGGATAGCCTTCTTTATATACTGTACAATATATTTAGGTTTATAAAACAGCAAAAATGGAAGTTGATGATTCAAGCCAAAAAAGTCATCTTCCTGAATATAGCTATGACATAATTAGTGGAAATCAAATAAGAATCTACAAGGAGAAATAATTCTCTTCTCTATAACCTTCAAGATATGTCTTAATTCTGGGAAAGGGTTCCTGGTCCAAGGAATTTTATCTACCCTTTCCGTCCTTGGATCAAACCTAATTACCCATTTCCCAGGCGGTGTATAACCTGATGTAGAATTAGACATTTGTGCAACATCTGGGTATCTTTATTTGTAGAAGTTTCGCCATATCCAGTAGCTTTATCAATACATATTCAAGAACATAATGGGAAGACTGTAGAAATATATATATACAAGAAGAGGAGGTATTCAGCCCCTCAGCCATGGAGTTGGTGTATGACCTATTTGGGTTTACAGTTTTCATCTCAAAGTATAATAATAATAATGTTTCACCTGCGTAGAGGAGACTAATAGTAAGTAATGCTTACTTTTGCGTGTACGGTGCCCATGATTGTGATGGTTCATGCGGTAGTTAATGTTTACCTTCCTCAGTCCCCACCGGTGTACCAGTGTTACCACACACCATCTCTACCACCAGTGTTACCACACACCATCTCTACCACCAGTGTTACCACACACCATCTCTACCACCAGTGTTACCACACACCATCTCTACCACCAGTGTTACCACACACCATCTCTACCACCAGTGTTACCACACACCATCTCTACCACCAGTGTTACCACACACCATCTCTACCACCAGTGTTACCACACACCATCTCTACCACCAGTGTTACCACACACCATCTCTACCACCAGTGTTACCACACACCATCTCTACCACCAGTGTTACCACACACCATCTCTACCACCAGTGTTACCACACACCATCTCTACCACCAGTGTTACCAGACACCATCTCTACCACCAGTGTTACCACACACCATCTCTACCACCTGTGTTACCACACACCATCTCTACCACCAGTGTTACCAGACACCATCTCTACCACCAGTGTTACCAGACACCGATTTCTGTGTAGATATCAGATCCTGAGGAGGGGGAGGGGTTGCACTGCTCATCAAAAAACCAATGGAGTTTTGAGATGGGAGGACTAGTCAGAGTAGCAGATGACTACATAGTAGGAACACTTCAAACTGGGGGTCCAAAAGTGATGATAGTAGTGATACAACCCACCACTGAACAGCAGGAGGCCAAGACAAGAATACAAGAGTGCAACAGGCCAAGACAAGAATACAAGAGTGCAACAGGCCAAGACAAGAATACAAGAGTGCAACAGAGTGATGGAAATAAATGGTATAAAATACCGACACAATGGCAATATAAACACAAATGCAGTATAATGTGATCCTTTATTGACTACGTTTCGCCCATGTTGGAAACATGTTTCCAACATCTTTGCCAAAACATCATTCCAAGTATCTACCTCCACAACCACGACCATCAAGGACATCACCAGTAGTAGGCAGGACAAGCCTCCATCCTCTGCAGGGGTATACATAATCCCTTGTAATGACTGCAACAAGTTATACGTGGGCGAAACATCAAGGGACCTCCAAACACGTATTTCAGAACACCAATACGCAAGCAGGTCTGACGACACAAGGAATGCCTGCGTACAACACCGTAATTCACACAACCACTTGATAAACTACAGAAACTCAAGACTTATCGCCACAGAAGACAACACTCAATACCGAAGAATCCTGGAATCATCACTTATTTCTATATCCGACAACTTCAACCAGAATAGTGGCTTCTATAACATAGCTGAACCACTTGCCAAGAAACTCCTTCATCGCTATCCCACATAAGAACACTGTAGAAGGTCTGCTCACAAACTTGTCCAGTCTCCTTTCCAAGCTACCCAAGTTTTTAGACTCTACAACCCAACTCGGTACATCATCAGATGCAGCATTCTTCACCTGACCTCAGCCGGACTATAAATACTTGCGTTCCTTCCACCCCAGGTAGTTCTGTTTGTGACTTGAAAAAGCCCACTGTGTGGGCGAAACGTAGTCAATAAAGGATCACATTATACTGCATTTGTGTTTATATTGCAACAGAGTGATGGCGAACACACTAGCCGAGGTTGCCAGAAGGGCCCACATGAGCAGGGCAAAGTTACTCATCATGGGGGATTTTTAACATTAATAATCCCTATACCGGGCAGGCCCGAGTGTACTCGGGCCTGAGACTGAGAGCGTGGTTTTTGCGCATGTCCTCCTACTCCCCCAGCGCATCTAGGTTCCCATTCTCTATTTCTGACCAATCACAAGCCTTCCCTGAGTCGCTCCAGCTAAAGGTGATGGCATCTCCTTGCTTCCCATTGGTCGAGAGAGCAAAATGTAAACAGTTCTAGCTTGGCTTCGCCTAGACTCATGTTTTTCGTCAAGTGCTCCTATACTCTTGCATTTCACCCACTACAATGTCAGTAAGTACTGATTTGTGCCTAGTGCGTAAATGAATATTTTAGCTATATTTTGATATATATATAAAGACGTTGTGAAGCATAATAAGAGTGCACCATGCAAATGAAGAAAGTGCAACAAAAGAGGACTGAGTACACTCAGCTCTGCCTGTTTAGGTGATGTTTTCAAGTTTTGGTATATAAATATTTCCATAAAATTTGGTAGTGTATATATGAATTCAGTAATGATCTGGGTGTGTACAGAACGTTTTTATTGTCCTTCCAGATCAATCAGAAATTGTTCTATGGTGAATCCTCCAAGGATAAGTCAAAATTTGTCTGTGTTTGGGACGAAAATTACTCAGATCAAGACCCAGATGACCTGGAATTGGTGGACAGTGGTGATGAATACTTGCCACAAGATGCAGAGGTGCCAACAGATGAGGAGGAAGCTATGCCACCATCCAAAAAGCAGAAATTGAACAAGAAGATACTTGCTTACATGCAAGTATTGCAGCAAAAAGAATAATCATGTCACATCCTCATTTTCCTGTGCCACATGCAAAGTAAATCTATGCATCAAGAAGGATAGAAATTGTTTCATAAAGTTTCATTGCAGAAATTAGTGATGTAAAATTATTGTTCTTTCTCAGGAAACTCAGGAATATTTCATTTGTAAGTTGTATCCCATTGCAATGTGTCATTGTTGATAAGTAGCTCCTATTTCTATTTTTTTAATGCTTACAAATTGTTCAGAAACAAGTTCCATTTATGTTTTTTATATTGTCTACTTGTATAATAAATTTAATTTTTTTTTTAACAATTGCAACCTTGCAACATTTTAAATTGTTATACCCTTAACGGGCAGGACCGAGTTTATTCGGACTTTGCATATCTGCAATTGCTCGACACGTAACTTTTACAACTCCATTTAGATGGCCTCAGTGACCTTACATCGAGCGGCTCTATCCCCTCATAGGAAATCACTTTCAAATTCGCATTTTGGTCTGCCTTGCCACATTACGTACCTCTGTAATCTGTAAATACCTTTGTAACTTGTCATGATTGTGACCAGACTTACCTGGAGTTCATTACCTTTGTAAATTGTGAGTTCATTACCTTTGTAAATTGTGAGTTCATTACCTTTGTAAATTGTGAGTTCATTACCTCTGTAACTTGCTCAGCTATCAAAACTTTGGAGTCCAGTCCCTGGACCAATTATGTACCTCTGTAATCTTTTGACTACCGCCCACAGGATGGGTATGGGGTGCATAATAAACATATTAAACTAAAACTTGCCTCCCGAAGGGTTAACCTGGAGTTTACCTGGAGAGAGTTCCGGGGGTTAAGGATAATGACTGGGAAAATCTGGAGCCACATGGGGACCCAGAGATGATGGAGGCAGTATTGGAAAACTTCATGTACCAACATGTTAAGGACACACCCAGAGAGATGATGAACCAGCAAGGTTGGACCTCTTATTCATCTTGAGACATTTTGGACATTAGGGATATCGCACACGAAAGGCCCCTAGGTGCTAGTGATCACGTAGCCCTGAGTTTCGAATACATAGTAGAGTTAACAATGGAAGGTGAAGCGGTACGAATACAGAAGCCAAACCTCCACAAAGGAAACTACACATGTATGAGGCAATTCCTACCTGAGGTGCAGTGGATAAGTGAGCTAGAAGGAAAGACAGTATATGAAATGATGGAACATGTGACCACAAAGTGCAAAGACCGAGTGGAGAAGTTTGTACCAAGGGGCAACAGAAACAACGGGAAGACCAGTGTAAGTAAATAAGTTTATTCAGATATACACAAATACAGTTACATAGAATCATCATACATAACAGCATATGTGTAGAGAACCTAGGATAACCTAAAAAAAGTCAGTCAGAGTGACTTATTTCCATTGGGCCCAGGTTTACCCGAAGGCGTGGCGCTAGAGCATGGAAAAATTAAAGAAGGCATAGGACTCAGGGAAAACTGGGAGTTGAGCCAAAGAGCCAGAAATGAATATCCATGGATAAGGAGAGAAGCCCAGCATCAATATGAGAATGACATAGCATCAAAAGCAAAATCTGACCCAATGTTGTTATACAGCCACATCAGGAGGAAAACAACCGTGGAGGACTAGGTAATCAGGCTGAAGAAGGAAGGAGAACTCACAGGGAACGACCAGTATGCGAGGAGCTCAGCTCACAATTCAGGGAGGTATTCAAATTGGAGACAGAGGCTCCCAGGAAATTGAGGTAGTAGGGTGCACCAGTAAGTACTGATCACAGTACACACAACCGAGGAAGTTGTGATAGTGGCTTTCTTTGTACTTAGCAAACCAAATTTGTAATTACACATTGTAACCTTTATAAAGAAATAAAATCTTTATTCTTTTAACTAGATACCTCGAAGGCGGTAGGCCCAGATAAGATCTCTCCTTGGGTCCTGAGAGGGAGCAAATGCACAATGTGTACCACTAACAATCTTCAATAAATCTAACGAAAGAGGGCAGCTGACTGAGGTGTGGAAGACAGCAAATCCAATCCCGATTTTTTAAGAGAAGAGACAGTTAGTTTAGTTAGTTTAATATGTTTATTATGCACCCCATACCCATCCAGTGGGCGGTAGTCAAAAGATTACAGAGGTACATAATGGGTCCAGGGACTGGGCCTCAAAGTTTTGATAGCTGAGCAAGTTACAGAGGTAATGAATTCACAATTTACAAAGGTAATGAACTCCAGGTAGGTCTAGTCACAATCATGACAAGTTACAAAGGTATTTACAGATTACAGAGGTACACAATGGGTCCAGGGACCGGGCTCCAAAGTTTTGATGGCTGAACTAGGTACAAGGTAATGAACTCACAAGTTACAAAGGTAATGAACTCACAAGTTACAAAGGTAATGAATACTGTAAGAATGGTTACTTACGTGTATACATGGCTGCAATCATGAACAAATTTTAGAGTAATGAGCAATTCACACTTCCACACCCGGTCACAACTGTAGTGAGTTATTGGTGCAAATGTTGATTGCTGAGTCTCTCTCTCTCTCTCACACACACACACACACACACATACAAATTCATACACACACACACACATAATCACACACACACACACACAACACACACACACACCACACACACACACACACACAACACACACACACACACACCACACACACACACCACATGCACAAACTCATACACACCACGCACAACTCATACACACACACACTCATACACACACACACTCATACTCACACACACCACACACACACACACACAC